ATTGCAGGAAATACAACTTCAGCAACAGAGTGGTCAGTGTTTGGAATACTCTACCTCATTCTGTGGTTTCTTCCCCAAACTCCAAAAACTTTAACCTTAGACTGTCTACTATTGTCCTCACCCCTTTCCTGAGAGGTCTGTAGGGGGCCTGCATAAGCGCACCAACGTGCCTACCATCCCTGTCCTATTGTTTCTTTTTATTTTTCTTATATGTATCCATGTATTCATAACTATGTTTTTACTTATACCTATTATCTTGTAAGCAATTGACAAACCAAATAAAATAATAAAGTATACTAAAAATAAACCAAGATTTATATGAAATCCACCAACTTCCCAAACTGCTTACAAATACCATAACTAGAATATCATAAAAACGCTTTGAAAATTGGGTGGGGTTTTTTTTTCTGCTTAAAATTGTCCAGGAAGACTTGAATATTCTTAAAAAGGTTAAATAAACATTTTAGAAAAGACAGTGGTAGATATGGACAGTGACAGATATTTAACATTAAAATATTAAACATTTTAATATAGTTTTAAAAAGACAGCTATTGATACGGCTGGAGAATTCTGGACATCAAATTCTGCATATTTTCAAGGTGCCAGGGTTGAAAAATGCAGCTCGAAACAATTTGAAGAACAAGAAATGGGGAGCAATTTTTTTTTCTTCAGGTTAACTTGTGTCTCATAATTAAACAAAACCAGTAACTCTAAAATACTTCGACGCATAACCACAACTGAGCTCAAAATTTCCACTGTTAAGCAAGACGTTTCTTAAGGGAATTTTGTCCCATTTCTTTTTTTCTTTGTGGCCTTTCTTGCCACCGTTACTAAGTGAATCACGGCAGCTGTGAAATTAGCGAGAAAGTTGCGGAGTGAATCTCGTGTGCCCAATGTCTTTGTTTTGTCAGGAGGTCGCAAAAGGGGATCACGTAACCCCAGCAACGGTCATAAATGTGAGTGACCTTGGGACACTGCAACCATCATAAACATGAACCAGTGGCCAAGCGTCTCAATTCTGATGACCTGACTATGGGGATGCTGCAACGGTTGTTAAGTGTGAACAATGATCGTAAATCACATAGCTGCGATAAATCATATTATAACAAAGAGGATTAGTGGACTGAGAGGCTAAAACATATAAAGAACACTTGGTGGAAGTGGGTATGTCTCGTTGGATGAAAAGAAGGACCAGGGGAGACATGACAGCAGTGCTCCAATATCTCAGGGGCTGCCACAAAGAAGAGGAAGGGGTCAAATTATTCCCCAAAGCCCCTGAAGAAGGCAGGACAAGAAGCAA